TATATATATATATATATATATACATACATATGTAAAACTAAATCCAAGTAAAGTGATAAATCCAAGTATATATAGTATATAAATCCAAAATACAAATGCGCCATCTAATGGCTATATGGTCAAAATTTAAATGTCAATTAACCGGAATCAGAATCAAATTTATTGCCTAGTAGGTTTGCACGTACAAAGAATTTCCCTTGGTGTTGATGGTGCAGACAAAATAGATATATATACAGAATACAGGATTTCTTGTTATATACCATTTAAAAAAACGTACCTTATACAATATACATAAATAAAACTATTAATCATACACACATTAGGCTGTGCGTTAATGTAATGGAGGAGGTCTGGAGATGGGATGTTAGTGTAGCTTCTAGGTCCTAAACGGGGAGGGAGTGAGGCAGTGTCAGTGTCACGGGGATCTCTGGGCCTTGTCCATCAGGCTGGTAGCGGATGGGAAGAAACTGTTCTTGTGGCGTGAGGTTTTGGTCCTGATGGACCGCAGCCTCCTGCCAGAGGGAAGTGACTGAAATAAATTGGGGTTTGGGTGCAAGGGATCAGCCACAATCTTCCCTGCACGCCTCAGAGTCCTGGAGGCGTAAAGATCCTGGAGAGACGGAAGATTGAAGCCAATCATCTTCTTTGCAGACCAAAACCAAACAATAACCGATATGATTTTTTAAAATGTCAAATCTTATGTATTTATGTTTAGATCCATGTTTGATGCAGGTGAAAGTGCAATAAAACTGTTGAATCGTTTAATGCTGGTAAATAGTCCAATATCTTTTGATAATAGAGGGATAAGAATAGGGTGTTTTTATGTTTTCAAATAGTTAATGTGTGATAAATCAATTGAGTTTTTTTTTTTTTTGGTATCTGCTTTGGTATCTACAGTGAAGGTTTTTCAAGTGGCCATGATTTAAAGAGAGGAACTTTACGAAATAGAAATCAAATATTAATCATAGTGATAATTTTTTAAGATTGAATCTATATTCATTGTACTGATCAACACCTATAAAGGGTCTAAATCCTACAGCCATGCACTTGCAAAAAAAAAAGGGACGTCTTTGAGCAA